CAGCCGTCATCACCCCACTTAACACTCAGTCGACACTTTCAGGCTTGGCTGGACGCTGTCAGGACCATGTCTGGCTTCGCCAGTGGCCACGGCTATCTGGGGCAGCAAAAAGGGCTTCTGTATACACAAACTCCTCATTCTGGTGACTCTTGTCTGTTCCCTCAAACCTGGGATTCTATCGATGATTGTAGTAATCCGAGTACAAACAAGACTTAGACCCCTGCAAACACTTCCTGTTGCAGTTTCAACATGTTAACACATGCACGATGAAGGCTGCGTTCAACAGTATGATCAAGGCAAAATGGGAAATAACAAAAACCAGCGGTCAGCCATTCCACCTAGGGACTGCGATGGCCGTTGTGGTAGGAATTTTGAAACAAAACCATTGGAATGAAATTTGGCTGGGAATCAAATCGCCGCAAGAATCCAAACAAATTGTTCGTAGTCACGTCTGTCGAGTAGTTGGTAACGCGTTTGGTTAATACCATCATTGCGCCAGCGAGAGGCCACACTTTTGGGCTTCAATAATTCCTTTCTCTTGGGATTCCTATCTCGAGGATGATTTCGATCGAATTCTGCGAAAACTCCCATGGTGCCCGAAGGTCGATCCACCTCAATATTGTTCAACTGCAGTCTAACCGCAAGTTCATCGTCTTCACCACCCCAGCCGTAGAAGAGGTTTGAAGCACCATTAATTGTTTCAATATGCCTCCAACTGAAGGCTGTAACTCCTCCCAGGAATGAACTGTACAACCTAAAATAAAAGCATAACTTGTTGACGTTTTTTCATAAATCTCTCAGCTACAATCATTTATATTATTTTTATAAAGCTTTTAGTTGACCGACTCCACCTAAATCTATGCACAAACGTCACTAGCTGTAATACTTTATATAGCATTGCAGTTAACTGCTATATCTGAGACGCTGTTTCACGCACTGGGCTCAGGTAGATGCTTGAAAATGACATTATATTTACTTATATGTACTAAAGTATTTTCATATTTTGATAATATTGGATGTGTGCGATTTAATGATAAATATTCTAGCTCACTTGTTCTGACGAAAGGAAGAACCATAAGATAAGCAAAACTGAATAGGGAATTATTAAATTTGTATGTGTATCCCCAGTTCCATCAAATTACGGCTGACAACACTATTCAAGACTAAACACTTAAATTATGAAGAAGTAGGATAAGCAGTGGAATATACTACAATAAGTGCTATATACATTTTATTTTATTATGTCTAGATATTATGTTGATTTATATTTGTAGATATTTCTAATCTGTACTATCGTGTCTGATTATCCAAATGCAGGTTTCGCGGAAATTATTATTCTTTACATGCTTCCAATTTAACCTGACGTCTACAAAGTTCCTCCACTGCCGTTTCTAGTTCCCTATCCCAAAACCTCAATATGAGAGAACTTGCTTAAATTACCCTTGCCGTCAAATAGTTGTTAACCCTTCTGAAACCTAGAACCCAATACTGCATTACCCGTTAAGAATTACTCTTGGGCAGCAGACATACATTATTTTTAAATCCAATGGAACAAATGGGCGAAATGTCTAGCCAATTCTTGAAGCACAGATTATAGGAAGATGTAAATGTTTTGTTGAGTGTCACAAGCTGGCATTTTCTGTTGGCCTTCAATGATCTGCTTGACCACGCCTTAGCGGTACTGGAAATGATAATTTAAAAATGCGTATATATTACCGGAGTGAACAGTACTTACCGCGTAACTTGTTTTCCAGTGCAAAATATATTGACTAGTTGTCTAACGTTCTGCCCACAATCGTAGACAACAGAAGGTGAAGTAGGCACTTTGTCAACGTCATGCAAAATGAAACATTCGATGCCAAAGAGTCGATCGCCGGAAAAACTTTTCCTTATCTCTCTGACAGCGACATTAAACAGTTCAGCTCGATTAAAACTGCCATTTCCCGCCTGCTCCACGACAAGTATGACACACTGGCTCTTCTGGGTGCTGAGAAATGGAAGCATGTGCGTGAGGAACCTGCGCAAATCCACGCTTCGATTCCTATACGGCACCACAATGGCCACCGTATTGTTTGCAGAATCCCACAACGGCAGATATGATTGGCCTTTCATTTTGGAATCAGTTGTACCCAGTTTGAAAGTGTTTGGTGACCGCGGAAAGGAGGCTGAACCAATTCCAGTGTGGGGTAGGTAGATTGCCTTTAAGGACTGTTGAAAAGAGTCCATGAAGTAGATATTAATGCCAAGTACGACAACTAGCACGACTATGATGGTAGACAACAAGCA